AACAAGTGTCCTGCGCTCTAGAAAGGAGCATGGCCTCTGTGCTGTTGAGAAATGCATGTTTCTTGCTGGCCCTCCATCTTCCAGACCCTCAGTGGTCTTCTGCTGACCTTTCCCACCCATTATGACAAGCACTATGCTACCAATTTTTTTTGGTAAACATTTCTTTTCAAATGTTGAATGACTCTGTAACTATTTGAATAGTACAGAGACAGGCAATCCCGAAATACGCACACACATGCACACAATATGTACATCATGGCTGCCGTGTACCCAAGTGCACTGACAAGGCCTAAGAAAACTCCAAACCTCCCAGTGACAGCTTCTGGCTCGTGTGGCCACAGTGTGACCGAATTTGTTTTCCAATCTGTCAGCAGAAGCCCACTGCTCTGGCATTTTGTAAATGTTTGTACACTCACAGGCACCGGGGTTCACACCTGTCAGTAATACTCTACCCGCTCACGCCCCATCTGCACTTCCTCCTGGATGACACGGCCACAGAAGCTGCACTGTGCACAGATGTTCCTTATTGTGCCTCTGTAGGCTTGGCAACAAACTGTGGACGGCAGCAGAGCCTCCCCACTGAGGAGCACTCCGGGAAGCCTGGCGATAAATTTAGCTGCAGTACAGGCTCACATCACACGTGGAAAAGATTGGTACACTGAGGTAAGACTGAAGGCCAGCATGAGAGCACACACTTCTGAAACTAACGCTGAATGAAAGGCCTCAGCATCATTCTCTTACCACCATCCCTCAAAGCCCTTCTGTGGAAATGCACACTGGAGGGGCAACCATGCATGTAACCCAGCCAGTGTCCAGTCCTCTGGCATCCATGTGCTTCCTGTGTAACCAGTGTGGTTTCAGCCTGGCAGCACCACATACTTCAGCCATATTCAGAGACATCCTCTTCAGAAACCAACGCTAAGAGCAAGCTGTACTTTAAGTTCTGACTTACAAGGAAACAAAGAAATAAATATTCTTAATGCTCATGGGGAAATGCATTGTTTGTTCCAGTCCCCTGCCATGTTTGCTTTCAAGAGTAATTTATGAGAAGATGACATACAGAATCAAATCAACCTGAGATTAAACCTCCTGAGCGAGAATCCACTGTGAGACAGTCGTCCTCGCGCAGAACAGTCATCGTCATTCCTCCCGAGCAGCCAACCAACATTCAATTACCCTAAGGTATCAGCCCAAAGTGCCTGGTCAAAATTGTTTCTAAATTGAAATAGCAAAGATGCGTGGGGGGAATGCATCTTTGTGTTTTGGAGTTTTGTTTTTTGTCCCCTCCTATACTCAAAAATATTTATTTAAACTGAAATACATCCTCTGCTGAAAATATGTGAACCAAGGTGATAGAATAATGCTTCTTAATTTTAAGCCAAATTTAACATTCATGGACAGAATATGATAGTGACTGCTTTAAAAGTACAGGAATTACTTAAAAATTATACCATGAGGGGAAGGGTGCTTTGAAAAAATCCAATACCATCAGAATGAGTTCATGAAGTGTACTACATTATCTCACAGAATGCTGCATGCAGAAGGCAGAAATGAGATTGAGGCAGGAAGATGTCTCAATACAATGGAGAAAGCATATGTTACTATCGGTGCAAGCAAAGCACTGAGCACACTGTGTACTGCCAACTATAGTGATACGGGTGTGCAAAAAAGGATTCAGAGGGATGGATTCAGCACCAAAATTGCCGTCACCCACAAGTAACGCCGGCTGCCTGTACAACAAGCCTGCTCCCATCTGATAATGTTTACTGTGTCCCAGGAACCTGAGCAAACCCTGAGCTAGCTAGAGGAAAGAAGTCCAAAAGATTGGCCCACCAACAGGAAGGTCAGGTGTTCCCACTGATTCTTTCCCTCTTATCTATACTTTCCAAAAGTGGTAACCCTCTTTCTCTTACATGAGTTTAAAAGGCCTGGCTCTTAACTGCACGACAGAGAACCATCTCAGGGATTCAATCCAAATGGAGCTGCCAAACTCCTACTGTGTACAGCTTGACACCATCTTGCCTAGTCCTAAGTGCAAGGAAAAGGCAGACACCCAGAGGGCACATATAAACTGAGTCATAAGCCAAAGGGTTCAGCTGCTTGCTTGCCTCCCATCCTCGCCAACTCTCCATGCCTGTGGCCTCTTCCCTCAGCTGTAGTGATCTTGAAGATCATGCAGAGCCTCTCTTGTCCTTCACACAGCTAATCCACAGCAGTGATTACCTGTTCCTCTTGAAACTTCTAAGATTTGCAGTCCATGCACAGGCCTTTTCTCAGAGCCTGCAGGAGAATCAACTGTAGGCAGGTTTGCAAGCCTGGGTCATCCATACCCTCCAACAACAGCTCAGGGGATTATCTGTGAGAACAGTCCATCTCTCTAAAGCTATTCAATATACTATTATGGTCACCAATCCATCCTTCCTAGGCCCAGAGTCTCTCTTCCACATGAGGCTATTTCTCTGAGTCCTGTAGCTTGAAAAAAAAATTTCTAACTTTTATTTGGTGCGTGTGTATAACTTTTATTTGGTGCGTGTGTATATTCATCCTAACTTTACATGTGTATGCTTGGGGGAGGGGAGGAGGTGGGGGAGGGGAGGTCTTTCTTGCAAGAGCAGCTCTGTGCCCGGGTCCAGATTGACTTGCAGAGCACAGTTCCTTCCTCCTCTGATCACTGTTTCTCCTAGTCAATTAACACCACAGTCATGGCCACTCACCCTGTCTGCTAATGATCAGGAAATGCATTAAGAATCACTTGGGTCTTACAACATAAGACGGTGGTAAAGCAGTTAAAACAAACTTATTTACCACATTAATCAAATGGCCCATTTAGCCTGAACCATCAATCCTCTAAGCATGCGGCTGAACTCCGCCATTGACTGAGGGCCACAGACAGAGGTCCTATAGCTCCAGGACCCTTGTTACCTCTCAGATGGTCCTGAGAGGACAGAGATGCTAGAGGTGGCTCTCCTCCATTGCTTAGTAATGACTGTGATAGAAGCAGCTCACTGACTGGATGTATTGCCATCTTCAGTGTCACCTATCCTTGACTAATCTTACCATCTCTCCAGATGACCACAAAAGGAAGGATCTGCAGATGACTGAGGGCCGTGACACAGTGATACGCACACGCTCCAGTCTATAGCCACACAAAAACAAGGCAGTGCCACATGAGAGGTGGCCTCATACGAACAGACTGTGTCAATTTTAAATCAACATTCAAACTGAAAAGTGACCCATCCTGTGTGCTTAATATGTTTTCACACATGAATCAGAAAGTGCACACATTACTAATCAGACATGTTGTAAACTTTAAACTGCTCAAAGCAGGTGATGCCATGTTATAGTTTGCTACTCTGACATACATGAAAAAAAAGGTCACATGAGTGGGCAAGAGGACTCAGTGGGTAAAGAGGCTTGCTGCCAAGCCTGACAAACCAAGTTCAATCCCCAATATCCATATACTAGAAGGAGAGAAATGATCTTCAGAGATTGCCCTCTGACCTCCACAGGCATGCTGAGGCATGTATCTACCAACCAACCTACACACACACACACACACACACAGAACTCTGCGTCACGGCACATCTCACACAGCTAACCAGTCTGCATGTGATCCACCTTCTCATGAAGCAACACTACTGGTGTCAGGATCAGGAGATGCTGAAGACCAACAGAAGCAAGCCTGGTTCACAGCTACACACAAAACACTGAACTAGTACTACTCTACTGGTACTAGTGCATTAACCCAGCCCTGAAAGCCAGTGTGCTGAGGCCACTAGGAGAAAGCAAACCCAAATAGACTCATTTCTCCCATATATTATTTTAAAAATGGGATACTGGCAGCTGTGAGTATATCTGCAGTAAGTGAGTGTGGATTTAAAGGTAGTTTTTAAAGCTGGACTCCAGGATAAGACTGCTGCTCTCCATGATTAGTGATGGCTATTGTTGGTTGTCAACTTGACTACATCTGGAATTAACTAAAACCCAAACAGCTGGACACACCTGTGAAGAATTTTTTCTTAATAAACCATTTCAAGTGAGAAGATCCACTTCTTTTTTTTTTTTTTTTAATTTATTCACTTTACATCCTAGTCACTGCCCCTCCTCCTGGTCACCTCTCCCACAATCCTTTCCCCACTTCCCTTCTCCTCTGAGAGGAAGGAGCCACCCCCCAAGATATCTTCCCACCCTAGCATAGCAAGACTCTGTAGGGTTAGGCACATCCCCTCCTACTGAGGCCAGAAAAGGCAGCCCAGCTACAAGAACATATCCCATGGACAGGCAACAGCTTTGGGATAGCCTCTGCTCCAGTTGTTCGGGACCCACATGGAAACCAAGCTACACATCTGCTACACGTGTGTGGGGAAGCCTAGGTCCACCCCATTTATGATCTTTGGTTGGTGATTCAGTCTCTGAAACCGCCAAGGGTACAGGTTAGTTGACCCTGTTGGGGAAGATCCACTTCTAATCCAGATCTTTGAGGTAGGAAGATCCACCTTTAATCTGGGATCCACACCTTCTGCTGGCAGCCTATATAAAGGACATGGAAGAAGGAAGTCTGTTCTCTTTGCCTGCTTGCTCTAATTCTTACTAGCAAGTCCATCCTTCATTGTCCTACTTCTTCAGAATTCCAGCATATACTGAAAACCAGCTGAGACATCTGGCCTCGTGGACTCAACACCTACTGGATTCTTGGACCTGGCAGACAGTCACTGTTGGACTAGCTAGACCACAGCCTGTAAACAATTCTAATAAATGCCCTTGACAGATAGATAGATAGATAGATAGATAGATAGATAGATAGATAGATAGATAGATAGATAGATGATAGACAGACAGACAGAATCTCAAGAGAACCCTGACTAGCACCCTGTCATTCCTTAGGACTGTGATGTTGAAAGGCAATTTTCAGCATTGGTGTAAGTAGGCAGTGGGCACAGCCAATCCACTGGCATTCACACTGCGTATCCGGGAGGCACAGTGTAGTGGTATACGCCTACCTGTGTACTCACAAATGAAGACCACGAAGAACGGAGTGACCAGGTCATTTATTCCCTGGACGTATCCACTGGCAGGGTGTCGGATAGCCCATATAAACAAGATCCTTTCGAAAATCTGAAAGACAATGGAATTGGCAGTAAAGCAAGAAATAACACGGTAAAAATTTAGAATGCGCTCACGTTTTTAATTAAAATATATGCCATCAATATTTCTCACTGTCTCCAACACTAGGGCACAAAACATAGACAGATATCAATTCTAGTTTCTTTGCAGAAGTCCACCAATCTTAGCTTTTTATTGACTCACAAGCACCATAGTATTCTAGCAAACCCTGGGTCCAGCTCTCTCCCAGCACCAGCACTAGCTTCTCTGCTCCTTGGAGACAAGTAGGTCACAGGGACACAGAGCAAACCAGAGCTTGGCAGACAATGGCTCTTTCCTTAATGATAGATGGGTAAGCAGGGAAGAGGGAGAAGGGGAAGGAAGACAGGAAGAAAAGAGGGATGCAGCACACGTGCCTGCATCCGTGTCCCTGCAAGGGAAATGGATTTCTTAACATCCTAGAAAGTTATCTTCATCCAAGAAGACACAAGCAGGCACCCTGAGTCATGACTGTGTTGAGTACCCTAGCTTCCTTCTTCCTCAGAACACTCACACTCGGCTGATCCTTCCTCTTCACCATCTTTCAGCCAGCTAGCTCTTCTCCATCTTCGATTTTGAGATTAATCTTATCAAGGCACAGCAGCCTGACACCACCCTACACCTCCTTGTACATATGTATGCACACCCACACCGATGGCTTGAAGATCTTCCTTTCATCCGTAAGTTTTTCGCCCACGTCTCCCCAAACTCTGGCCCTGCCCTAGGGGCCCCTTCTAACCAGCACCCACATTCTGTACCCTCCTCAGAACTCAGCAGGTTACCATCTCAGCTCCCACAGCCCTAAGGGCCTCTTCTTGCCTCTGGCTTAACTGATGGTATTCGAGATCAGTCCCAAGCACTTCCTTCTGTGCTGACTGCTCCTGCCCACCTTCTTTATGGAAGAGTCAGTCACATCCGACCTGTGACTTTCTTGTCTCCCTCCTTCCCACTGTCATTCACTGGTGGCTCCTGCTTGGAACTGGGCTCCAAAGCCTGACAAAGCCAGGCCTTACTGCTCTGCCCAGATTCACACAAGCAAGCAGTAGAGTAGAGGCAGTGAACACATGCTCACACAAGTAAAGTTGTTCCAGAACCTCTAAGTACACCGAACCTGAAGAAGCCAATGGTTGCACGCTCTGGGAAGTCAGCCCCTTCCTACATCACCTACCACCCTAAGGATGACTGGGCTTGGTAGTCTAGAACCCTCAAAGTGCATGAATCCCAGGATTTACAAAAGAGAGGCCTAGAGCCCTGACAAGCGAAGCCTCTGATCCCAAGGCATGGTGCCTACCATGGACAAACTCAGATCCCACCCCCACAGCAGTACAGCATCACCCCGCTGCTCAAGTGAATAACAAGCCACCACCACCTGTAGCACAGCAGGCGCCAGCTCAATATTTGCTGAGTGAGTGACACGTTCATGCATATAGATTCATATACATTTTTCATCAGTCAACAGTTTCCTAGAGAGAAATGAATATTTAAACAAAGTTCAGAGGCTGGGGTACAGCTTACTAACAGAGCACTTGCCTAGCATGCGTGAGGGCTCTGCGAACAATCACTAGCACTGCTGAAAAATTGAAATAAAATAGAAACAAGTTCAGACGCTGGGAACATAGCTCAGTTGCAAAGTGCCACCTTGCAAGCACAAGGGCTTCAGTCAGGGCACCAAGACCACATGTGAAAAGCCAGGGGCAGCGAGAATCCCTATCATATAATCATATAACCCTGGTGAGCAGGGCAGAGATAGGTAAATCCCTGCAGCTTGCTGTCCAGCCTGACTAGGTAAATCTAAGAGCATCAAGGTTAGTGAGACATGCTGGTTCCAAAATATAAAAGTGGGGGTAATCAAGGAAAGACACACAGTGCTGACCTGGGACCCATGCACATGCATAAATCCACAGTGTAAATACATGATACACACATGCATGTGCATGCACACACACACACACTTCAAAATCTGAACCTCATCAGAGGCCCTCAGTACACAAGAGACTGTCACACTACCCAGAAGCACAGCTCCATCTGCTCACACCCACACAGGCAAACAAGACATATGCTATGCCTTGGCCTTGCACACACCATGAAAGGCCTGAGAAGGCTGAAAAGAGTTGGGCTGGCCGGGGCTCTTAAGACTTTGGTTTTAAGCACAAGCCTCTGTCAGTGAGACTCAAAGGCAGACTCGAGACCACCCAATAGTGCCAGCACCTTCCTGGGAGGAACAAGGCAAATCAGTAGCACAGAGTGTACGCTGAGGACAGAGGAGCCCAATTTGCAAATAAGAGGCTAATGCTTTCCTGTTCCTTTGCAGAGACACAACAGTGCTCCCCTGAAGGAACCTCAAAGCAGGCCTCTGCCAGCTGCTGGTGACCCAGCACATTATACAGCACCTGAAAAAGCAGGAAAATCCAGAAATATTCCAGTTTCCAGCAATGGAAAGCTCATGGTCAGCTCAGCTGTTCACAACTTAATTCCACTGGACCTCCCTCAAGGACCTGAAATTTCTACCTTAAGGCTTTGTTTCTAGAACCACACAGACATAGGCTTCCGGAGAATAAGCTAAGACTGACTCCAGTCAATGGGCAGTGGCTGGAACTGCAAAACCAGTCCTGACCCCCTAGTCGCTTAATAACTATTGGAACATCTTTGTCCTAGTATCTGAAAACATTCTGGGGAATGGGGATCATTCTTTATGGGGCCACAGCCCACAGCTCCATGAAAAAACCTTGGATTTTTCTAGCAATTTGAGCAGAAGGGCAGAAACAGCATGTTCACTGTCGGTGGTGGCAGGGTCAGCTTAGCAAAGAGCAGATGTGAGGTGAAGATCACATTGGGCACAGAGGGTTTAACTCAAGCTGTAGTGCTGTGGGGAAGCACACATGATCCACCAAAGGTCATGATGTACAGAGGCCTTGGACCATGGATGTGCCTACTGGAAACAGACTATCCTGGGAAGCCCTGACTATGAACATTCACAGATATTACTAGCCCTTGGAGTTCTGATAGTTATTCTTGCTTTCCATGTCTGTAGGAGGGGGCTGCATTAAAAGCAGCACAAACTTTGAACTCTTCCCAAAGGCTCATTTCTGAAACTCTGTAATGAAAAATAGTTGCTACCACATGTTCCCCCAGATCTGAAGGAACCAAGAGGCCTGGCTGGGGCTCTGTGGGTTATGTACCTGCTATGCAGACATGAGGCCCTGCATTCAGAATCCCAGCACCCACCAAAAAGATGTCAAGCTACGTGGAGAATGACTAGAATTACAGCACTGGGAGAGGGAAGGGAGGGAGGGAGAAAGGAAGGTAGGGAGCTCACAAATATCTATAACGCTAATTCTAAGGCTAGAAGACATCCTCTTCTAGCCTTGGCAGGCTACTGCATGCATGTGGTACAGGCAAACACTCATACACATAAAATAAAAATAAATCTTGAAAAAATAAAGACAAAAACTAAGTAAACACAAGAACAAAACATTAATTCCCTCCAAATTGATCAACAAATACAACTCAAAAATTGGGAGAGTCCACGACACCTAACGAGCTGACTTTAACACACAAGGAAAGGCCAAGAAACATAACCAGGAACAGGCAGCCTGGGCCTGGGCCTGGCCCACAGGACTCAAGACTACAATAATCAAGTCCAACTCAGGACAAAATAGACAGACAAACCATGGAAGGCAAGACCAGCTGAAGGAGCCTGGGCACATTGGAAATCCTGAGAGACAGCAGACAGGTACGGCTGCTGGTGGCTAGGACCACAACTGGCTTTCCACATGGGAACGATTCCAGAAGTGGAGATGCAGAAGGATCAAGCCAAGAGAAAAGGAACAATGATGGAGGTCTCACAATGCCTGATCTCAAACTACACTACAAACACACAGTACCAAAGCAGCAGTGTACCGACTAACTAACTACAACAGCAGACACACAGACCACGGGAGCAGAAGACTCAGAAACAAGCCTACACAGCTGTACCCACCTGACTTTCCATAAAGTTGCCAAAGCATACAGAGAAGGATAAACAGCCTTTTCCTAAACCACTGGAGAAGAAGAACTTAGATCCTATCTCTCACACAAGTAATAAAAAACAATTCGAAATGGATCATAGATATAAGACATCAAACTTTGAACTTCTAGAGGAAAACGTAAGACTGGGGCTTTCAGGGGTCAGGACACCTCAGCAAGAACTGATAAATGGGACTGACTGTATAAGGCACCAAAGGAAAGAGAGTGCAGAGACAGCCTGTAGGACAGACGGCAGGAGGTCTTTGCCATCTGACAGGATAGGAATCTAAAATCTACAAAAATCACAAAGAACTGAACACCAAAAACTCATCTCATCAATAAATGGGCAAATGAACTGAACACACAGGACCCTAAAAAGCAGAGATAAGGCCAATAAATACATCAACAAAAGTTAAGCATCCTTAACCATGAGCGTAATAACAAACCCAAACTTCATTTAAAGTCTATCTCACCTGAGTTGAAATGGCCACCTTTAAAATAACAACTAACGCTGGTGAGAAAGGAGCACTTCATCCCTCAACCAGGGATGTAAACTGGGGTGGCTGCTGTGAAAATCAGTCTAGAGTCCTCAAAGCACCCAAAATAGAACTGTCCTATGATCCTGTGACACCACTTCTGGATAGTTAGCTGGAGAGAATTCAGCACATTTACAACGCTATGCACAACAGCCAAGCAACAGAATCACCCCAGATATCCATTAACAGATGAATGGAGAAAGGAAATGCGGTACATGTAGACAGTGACGTTTTACTCAGCTACAAAGGATAAAATGGGCAGAACAGGAGTGCATCATGTTAAGTGAAATAAGCTAGATCACATCATGCGTGTGCGTGTGCGTGTGCGTGTGTGTGTGTGTGTGTGTGTGTGAAAGACAGAAACAGAGACAGAGAGACAGATAGAGAAAGAAGACTGGAAGAGAGTATTGGGTTGGGTGAATGGAACAAGTAGAAGAAAAGAACAGAAAAAGGAAAATTAATGGCAGGAAACAAAAGCAAAGTATATCACTTGCATGTGTAAAAATGTTTTAGTGAAATGAAACTTGCAACTTTCAGATCAGATGTGAGCTCTCAGCTCCTGCTCCAGTGTCATGCCTGCCAGCTGTCATGATCCCTGTCATGATGATCATGGATTCACCCTCTGAAACTGTAAGGCAGCCTGATTAAATGCTCTTCAATAAGCTGCCTTGGTCATGGTGTCTCCTCACAGCAACAGAACTATAACTAAGACATCAAGTAAAGTGGCAAGCATAAAACAGACATGGGAGACACTGGCCCCAGTATTGACAGGCTGTGGAGATGCCCAGTTCATTGCTCTAAATGCAGCATGCCCACATGGGGGAGGAAAACCAATGAGAAGAATCAGGGTACAGTGAAAAGAGGGCCCAGCAGATCCCTGGCAGGGCCTGAAGACCATGGTGAGGCTAGGAATCATCAAATGAGGTTCTTGCCTTACAGAGCTTAGGGTGGGGAAACTGCAGCACAGTCACAGCAAGAAGGGGAACAAGTGGCTACTGCCAGGTCCCCAAAGCACCTTCAGCCACCTGGTAAGCACAGGTGCACCAACAGCTCAGGAGGCCTGTCAACAGGGCAGGAGAACAGCACTCTGGAAGCAGGGACCAGCACACGACACCTATCCCTACCGCCACCCCAACCATACCTAGGCACGTGGGGATCCAATCTGGATCTGGGGAGGCTGCCACTTCCACCTGTGAAACCTTAAAGCCTGACAGAAGAGGCTGATGCTCCACGGGTACCTTCATTGCAAGAATGTCCCTTCTTTCCCAGTCACAGGTGGCTCCTATACCCACTCGCAGTTTCGGGTCAAAAATTCAGTTTCAAAACCTGTGTGGTTCACTACCCTATGTCTGTTCATATGTAACAAGGCATCACACCCTGGCAGCAACCTTACTTCTGAGCCGGAGACTGCTCTAAAGAAGCAGAGGGCAGACAACAGGACAGCTATGAAGGAAAGGCCACTGGGCAGATGTGGAACTTGGCAACATCCTCAACAAAGACACAGGACTAGCCACAAACAGCTAACAGGTAATGTTAAGACAGAGTTCATCAACAAAATGGGCAGGGACTAAAAAGGAAAAGGTGGCTAGAAAGTGATTTTTCTTTCACATAACAATACTGGAGCAAAAACAAAAACAAACAAACAAACAAAAAGGCTGATTTCAGGAAACATCACAGAGCCTCACCAAGCTGTCACATGAGCTTCTACACTCAGGATCCAGGCTTGCCTTCCCAGCTCCCATCCAGTGAAGTAACTCCATGTCATCAAGGTAAGTGAGCAGGTTACAAGTAGCACCACACTGCCAACCTCCGGGACGTCAGAGCGATCCCTACCTGTGTCTTTTTAAAACTCCCTCTAGTGGGAGCAAATGTGAACAAGCGAGCCAGGCAGCTGCCTGCACCCTGAGGTTAAAGCCAAGCACACAGTGGCAACCAACTGTCTGACAAACAAGCTCCGGACAGTCATCAACTTCTCTCTCATGAAGCTACTGTGGCAACAGATTTGCTGTCACCGTGGATAGACACATCCCAACTTCTAAGCTGCCAGAAATCTAATTGGCTCCTGCATACTGGCCAACACCATCCAGTGCTTTTCCTCAAGAACCTCCTCCTCATTTCATACCCTCAAATACACATTCACACTCAAGTGATCCATGGTCCCACTTGGCCAGCCTGGATAGTCTGACCTCCTCCCCCAGAGGTCTTCCTGTCCTATAGACCACACAGCCCCTGCTCAGCCCTGCCAACTGCTAAATATACACACCTCTTACCTCTGGAGGAGTTCCGGGGCTGAGCAAAACCCATTGCCAGGGAGATAGTCCTAAGTAAAAGGGCTAAGGCCTGACCACAAGGCAATAGTACTGACTTTGGACCATAACTGTGGCCAGAGGCCACAGGCCAGCTCTATGAGCAGTGTGCTAAGCTGTAGATACATGTGCGCCCCCCCCACACACACACACAGACACACAGACACACATGCACGCACACACACCAAGGTCTATTTTCCATGTTTAAAGAAAAACTTAAGTAAAGAAGAGGTCGTAATGCATTCCCCTTGTTTCCAGCCACTGTAAGCACAGCACTGAGAAGGGCAGTCAAAGACCAGCGCCTCAGAGCGGGCGCTCAGAGCGGGCGCCCCTATGGAGACTCGCTCTCCCCTCTTGTGCTCCACAATCTAGGAGCACTTTTACTTCAGAAATGTCGGAATTTTTTAGCAGCTTTACTGCGCAGGCAAGAGATGTCCACGTTTCAAAATGCATTTACTGAGGGAAAATAAAGATGAAAAACAAAGTATTTCAGATAGTAAGTCTACTTTAAAGAGATACCACTTATTTTAGTGACAAAAATATAAGGTTAAGAATAAATCTAATAAAACATACATAAGGCCTTTCATAAAGGTTTGCCTCTGTCAAGCAGCCCAGGTCAGTGGTCTCAGATACCTGGTGGGATGAAGCAAGAATCTCAGGGTACGTAAGTTCAAGGCTCTCTGAAAGACCTGATCTCAAAATAACACGTAAAAATAGGACTGGGGACGGAGCTCAGAGGAAGAGGGCCTGCTGAGCAGATCTAAAGAGTTCAAGCAATCCCATTCACAAATCAAACAGACTTTAAAAACCCCGAAACATGATTCAGAAAATGACTTGAATGCATAAAGACTAAGAGAACCCAGACAACTCCGAAGAGGAAGGAGGCGGCACTGACGTCCCTGTGGACGCCTAGGAACATGGCGTGGATACCAACACTGAGGTGATAAGCCCAAGTCCCTGCACAGCTCCCACTGTGACTAACTGCCCATAGGTGCTGCTATCAGCTACAAATTAAAACACAGGATGCAGAAAGAAAACTTCCAGATGAGGAGATGGGAGAACAATTATGAGACAGATGTTGTGGGAAAAGAGTTCCTAAAGAAAGTGTCCCATGATAACCTAGGAGGGCATCACATTCAACTCAGCAAAGCTAAGCCTGTCCCATCAAATACCCAGCAAAGAATTAGAATCCCAGATGTATAAACATCACAAACTTATTTTCTTTAATTGGTAAAAACAAGAAAGAAGGTAACAAGAAAGCCAGTAACAATCATTTACCAGAACAGGGACACAGAAGATGCTCATCTCTATATACAGAGAGGCTCTTTACCCACCAGTAGCCAAGGAAAGTGAAGCCAGGGGCATGATGGGAATATCCACCAGACATAGAGAGCTCAGGAGCCTGGCCATGTTCCAAGAAGTGCCAAGGAGTGGAAATCCAGGTTTCCAGCACTTCAGGTGAGCCCCGTCAGCAGATCCCACCAGAAAACATGCTGATATTATCCTGAAAGCCCTGGGGAAATTCTCACAGGGGTATACCTGCATAAATGAATGTGACAATTCTAGTGACACTGTCCCAACTGCAGAGCACTAGGAAGTGCCCAAACATTTACCCCGAGTGCCACACAAGTAGAAGAAAACACAAGCTGTAGAGACTGAATTGCACAAAGAAAGGAACACACAGCTCAAGACACAATCCCAGCACACTGCTATCTTAGTGTTGAAGTCACAAAGTACAGCCAACTATAATCTGGAGATGAATAGTACACCTCTTTTTTGGGGGAGAGGGAGGACAGAATAGAGCTGCCGTAGCAGAACCATGAGCATGGAGAAACAGTTTCTATGCTACCAGTTCCAAACTCAATAGAGGCAGCGGGTCAGCATTGGAGAGGTTCTAACTCCCAAATTCAAGGGCATAAGTTTCTACTATAAATATTCACACATATATTCCACCAATTATGGACTTTGGGGGCTCCTGGATCAGGTCCCTCAAGTGCAGTGAGCAATGGTCACACAGAGACAGGCATCAGCAGAAACTCCCCGCCCAGCCAGCGCTCCTCTTACCTCTGTCACCTTGGGCTGAAGAATCAGTGCTTCCGGGCTCATCCGTGGGATGTCGATATGGATCTGCAGATGCAGGAGAGACGTATGTTTATCTTATAGAATGAGAACAGTCCTTGATGACCCATGTGACTTGCCCTTAACCTGCTCTGAAAGGACTGTCACCAGGCTCCTCCACAGGAGGCACCCAGAAACACACTCCCCCTGGCTAGGCTTGACTGTCCTCAGGTGACAGGCATGCCTGACCCTTCACAGTCCAGCAATGCTCACTGTGTGGTTAGGAATAGAGTGGGCCCTCGGCTCCTCAGTAACGTAAGCCAATGCAATCAGTGCACATTGATTTTCAGCCTGACACTAGGCATGACTCAAGGACACTGACAGTGCTCTGTTTCAGCAGTGACAGGGCTGTCTGTAACATAGGCCACATTCTCTTCTATTTCTCAATGTCCATGAGGAATCTAGGACACACTAAAGGAAGCATTTGAAAGTCTCTGCTGGTGTCAGCAGATTCCTGTCTGAGCACCATCTGACAAGAGAGTTTTGACAATGTTTGCCAGCATTGCAGTGGAGACCACCTGAGGGTGGGGTTTAAGAGGTGACCCGACCGACAGGAGTGCTCTGAACACAGCTGGCACCACAGGCTGGCTCCACATCCCAGGAGCACACCCCACACCAGTAACACTAGCATCACTCTGGGGCTCCAGGGAAACAGCCTGCACACACTGAGGGAGACAGCATATTTTAACCCAAAGGAGACTCCACAGTTCAGTTCCATCCTTGTCCATGTGCAGAGAGGCAGCGAACACCTAGTAAATAGGGTCACCATTTCACTCTGACACTACAGTCTGTGGCCAAGAGAAAGCCACTTAGGTTCAGCCTCTCCACCTACAAAAAGCCTGCTCTCTGTGTCCTTCAAAGGGCTACTTGGTGACAGAGTCTGAGTCCTCAGTACAAGGGAACAAGATGAGACTAACTTGTACACAGAGCACACAGAAAGAAACTCCATGGACACCCTTGCTGAGGGACGCCTACACAGACTCAGGAGGCTCACATGTAGGAGCCCAGATACAGGTGAGGAACAAGGTTGCACAGGTCCACGAGCAAGGCATCCTGGGAGCCAATGCTAGTCCATTGTCCCTTTGGTGACAGTCCTATGAACAGATGGACTGGCCTCCTACAAGATGAAAAGCAAGCCTGACCTGCCTCTATACCAGATACTGCAAAGATCTACAGGCAATGTGCTTCTTATGCAGCCAGGACAGCGTATGCATCATACCCTATGTCTTGCCTCTGGCCTGCTTCATCAATATCAGGCCTGAAAAAATAGGGAAAAGGCCACAAGTATCAGCAGGAATAACCTACAGGGAGGAAGGCAAGCCAGGCAAATATTATCACTAACTAGCTCCATGTGCCCTGGATATAACCTTCAGTGAGACAGTAAATACTGGATAATCCAGTGCAGGAAGGCACTAGATCAGGGCCCAGGCCAAGGCACCACCCTACAGAAGCACGCTGTAGAAAGCTGGGCACAGGCCAAGGTATCAATCATCACATGCCAACCATCACCCAAGGCAGAGCTGGTCATCACTAACAGATCTCAGCATCTATTTTGTAACTTGACTAAAGCTTCATGCTCTACCTCTGAGAAGGAACACAAACAAGTCAGATCTGTCAGGGGTAGCCAATTGACATTAATTGCTTTCAAATGGCTATTGTTAGAAAATATAAACCTGTAAGCCTATCAGGTTCCTGATAGATGAAATACATGCCCTGCAAACCACCCCTAAATCCCAGTATTGGGTGATATGTGGCAAGAGAGAGACCCTACACACACCTGGCGATACGTGTCCTGGTGAACTTCGTCATTCCTAGAGTTGTAATAATGCTCAATGAAAGCAAAGTATTCCTTCTGTTTCCTCTGCAGCGTGGCTGGTCTTCGGTCAACATTGGCAGGAAGGTAACCCTGGAGGAACAAAAGAAACACAGGCATCTGTAGTTACTGTGATCATGAGAGTGAAGAACAAGCACCCATCCAGTATGGCTCAGGCAGAACAAAGCAGTGGGACAACAGGACAGCAGGACAGAGGGACAGTGGGACAGCAGGACAGCGGGACAGCGGGACAGTGGGACAGCAGGACAGCACGCAGCACCAGCACGCCCTACCCGTGTCACTAACCAGTTCCTAGTCACTCACATCCAACAAAAGTCATCACATGACAACCAGACACAATGCTTTCTTAGCACATGGCATGGAGATATTAAACTCCTTCTCCATAGGGCTTACATCCACAAGGAACAAGGAGTATCTCTGGCCTCACACCCAAACCACACACACATATACACACATTTTGCATTTATGTGCACAGAGCTGTCATGTGGGCAAATGTATCTATTCTCCAAAGCCTCTGGGGCTCCTGGCACTTTTAAACACATCAAATGGACAGTTTTCTATGTGGCTTCTTATTTGTTTCCTTGTCTGTGTTTTAAGTTAATCTTATGTTATGATACATACGGTATAACTTTACATTTTTGTAATTTTAAGCACAGGCCTATGGCCTCAAGGAAAGCTTCAGGCAGTTGACTACTGTTCCCAGAAAGACAGAAGGCACTTTCCATTGCCCAGAGTGATGGTGTTCTCTGCAGCCCATTCCCACCATCCCACCTGGGCCCTGGAAGGGTTAGTTTCTCACTAAAGCTGACTGGGTCTGTCTGGGACTCTCCAAACACAAACTCAAAACCTAGGATTTTGTGTACCCTGTCTTCTGAGATCTGGCCACTTTGGGGTATGAGTCTGCATGGCATGTGTTAGGCCATTCTGGTAAGCTACTTAGGAATGAACAAAGCTCAATGGGTATTCTTGCAGGCTTTGGAGGTATGCACTCTGATTTCTCAGAGCCAAATAGCAAGGGGCAGAGGTGCTGCATCAGAATGCAGACAGCGTTTTTAAGGAACTGCCTGATCTTTTCCAAGGAGGTGATACCCTTTCACACTCCAGCCAGCACTGACTGGGACATACCAGATGGGCACACCATTGGGTAACCCTAAGCCCAAGGCTTTTCTTTGCTGCTTCCATGAATCCAGGTGAACATAGGCAATCTGTGCAGCGACAGCCACCCATGAGCACAAGGGTGAGGCTCAAGCTGTTGTACAGCCTTGCCTGCACACAGTTAGTCCAATAAAAGTTCCCACAGTCTCCGTTCCAGCTGCTTTGCTAGAACGCAGTAAGAATCTGCATACCCCAGGATGCTGTGGGTGACACAGCAAGGAGCCATGCTGAAGGGTAAGCACAGATGCAGCCTACTTCCAGTCAGGTCAGTCAGGCACTGTCTCCTTCCAGGTCTGCAGGTGAGGTCTGTGGAGGGTTGCTGTACCCCATAATGTCCTGTGATGAAGAGCAGGCCCTCACCTGGACACAGCCCTAGTTGTTGATGTACAATCATTCCTTTTAGGAAAACACCCATTACCCAACATTCAGGTTCATACGTTGCACTTGAAAATCAAAGCCAGGAATTGTGGCCTATGGCTTTAAGCACTTGGAAGGCAGAGGCAGATGGATCTCTGTGAGTTTGAGGCCAATGTGGTCTACACAGAGAGTTCCAGAACTATATAGTGAGTACCTGTCTCTAAAAAACCAAAACCAAAATAAAATCACAGCCATACCCCTACTGTGATTAACTGCCATTTGACAATAGGAGATGCTAACTGAACACACACCTGCTCCTGCAAATGACATCTTGTCGAGGCCACTGTGCCTGCTTGTTGAATAGTGTGTGGCTGCTTTCAAGGGGAAAAAAGGCTCATGACACAGCATTCTCTACAGGAAAGCACAACCCTCAGATGCTTCTCTTCTCTTCTCTTCTCTTCTCTTCTCTTCTCTTCTCTTCTCTTCTCTTCTCTTCTCTTCTCTTCTCTTCTCTTCTCTTCTTGTCTCTGCAGAGAGGATACTGCCAAGACTCCACTGCACATTCTGCCGCACACAGGAGGTGCAGCACCAATAAGTCCAGAACCAGCCCAAATGTCACCCACCTGGTTATTAGAGCCACTGCAATACACCTGTGGACATCCCAACAGAGCCCTTAGTACTAAGGACACTAGGGACACAGCCTTGCCCCTGAGATGAAGGCACAAAATTACAAGGGTAGGGTACAGACAGATGTAACAACAGGTATATCTCCATCCAGTTAAAAGCTGCCCCAGGGACAACCCATCCAAGCAGTAGGCTTTGTCCACACCTCCTTTCTCCTTGGAGCTATCTCAGTTTCAGTTCATATGAACTTAAAGAATAACAATTTCCTAAGATACATCTTGTTCTTTGTGTGGTAAATGCTCATCCACGGGGCCTCCAAGGAAGGTGCAGCCCCCAGGCACAGGGCACCTCGGTGCTCCTTTAGTCCTAACCATTCAGAGGTAGTCAAGGTTCCCACTTTCAGACGGGGAGACAGACTTGGCAAATCATGGTGCCATGATCAGAGCCAAGATATGTGAGGTCAGACTCAAGCCAAGGCCTCCTCCCAACATCATCCCTGCCCTTAACCTCCAATCCCACACCTGTCAGGGATGCCAGCTGACCCCGGCTCACAGAGAGCCTAGGCACAGTCCACACTGAGGCTTTGTCACACATAGCAACACCTGTGTCCTCTGTGCAATGTGTGGAACAAGGTGGCTCTAGGGAGAAGCCAGATTGCAGAGAGCTGTCCATGTGAGAGATATATGCCCCACCCCCTCCACTCTCCGCCCTGGGGAGACTTATCTCTGCACTGTGGCTTTGGAGACCCACACTCTACCACAGCATATGGTAAAATAGAGACCACTTGACCATAGCAGCCCCTTAAACTCTCAATGGCCTCTTGTTACACTCAAGATGTGATCTCAGGCTGCCTGGGCCCTGCCTGGCCTCTCCTCCTCCCTGGCCAGAGCACACATGCTCCTCTATGGGATAGATTCTCTACCTTCTAACTGGCTAAACATGCCTCAAACACCACACCTCCTGCCTAAGGGTCTCCCTTTGAACTCACTATTGCCTCCACTGGGACCCACTGGCTCCAATCTTAGGCCAGGCAACTCTTATTAGTTTCTGTGAATAAAGCTTGCAGGGAACACAGCAATATGCAGTCCACACCAATTCCTTGGTCTCCTCAGTGCTATTTAGCAGGGCTGTGCAGCTGAAGCAGGCCCACAACACTGACGGGACTGGCACCTTAGGATCAAGTCTGACGAATCCTGTTCAGATGTCTGCAGCCAGTGGCAACCCTTCCACAATCCCACACCCCCTATAGTCTCCACTCCCCTCTGCTGTCTCAGGTCTCAGGGCTGTTACTTCTGCAGCTCATTGGTCATCCCTCTTCAACACCCATGCCAACCCTTTCTGGGAATCAATGGGACAGTATGATCTACATGGCATTCAATATGGCCCTGAAATAGTAAGGACCAGACTGTATATCCAAATATCCACACAGCCCTCCCTCAAGTCTCAGTTCAAATGTCATCCTTCAGTGAGGCCCACCAGGACCACGCACGTAAACAGCATTCTGATCTTGCTCATATCATGACAAGCACCCATCACCTCTGCCAACTTCCCCTACCCAATGAATGTACTTTTATCTCTTCCAGTCACAACATAAGCTCTCCCTTTCATCTCCAAGATATACCCAAGGGCTTAGAACAATGGTCCCCCATAACAGATACTCAGCAAAGGCTTGCTGGATGAATGGATGATGTTAGCAAGATGAAGAGAACTGACACAGAATTAGGGTTTCAGGGAGAGACTAAGTTAGCACAGGTTCCTGGCTTGGTTTGGTTGAGATAGAAGAGAGACTGGAAAACTACATAGATCCCAGAGGTATGCAGGAAATGGGTCCAGGCTGAGCAAAGACCAAAACAGAGCCTGGCAGGTGAAAGGCTGGCTGCTGCATTCCATAGCCAGAGCAAAGAGCCCAGACCCAGTCTGCAATTCTGGGCAGTGGGACCACCAGAGTGGTCAGCAGGGACTGTGTAGATAGCCACAGCTACCAGCATCCTTAGGGAACAGAATGAGCACTCTCAGGAGGTCTCCTGCTCCCAGAATGTTAACTTAATGAAACACAAATTCTAAAAGGCAAGTGTGCATCATAAAAGGCCCACCCATTTTCCTGCCATCCCCTTCCTAGAGGAAAAAACACATGTGCAAGTGCAGGCCTCTTGATAATTAAGCAAGACTAGAAATTATGCAAATGAAATACATTCAAGTATGCAATGAATTTTAAATGACAGAACTACAGAAGACTTAATTGCTGTATTAGCATGCTATAAAAACACTAATCATAAATGTAAAACAATGCATGCAGATACTTAAATCCAAACTGTCCTGGTGACACAAAAATCACTGTGTTCCCTCCCACTGCGTTCATATGCAAACCGACTGTAACACACTGAAAGAAGCTACGCTGGTACTAGAGCCTCCCTGTCATTTTTAGCCAATATCCTCAGTAGCATAAATGTTAAATGTTTAATTAGTTTTTGTTCACTCTTTCTGAAACAGTTAGTTAAAAAAAAAAAGAATCAAAAATATGATTCTCTTTGGGACTAATTTTGAAAAAGGTCCTATGCTGCTTGCAAGTAATTTAAAAGTTAAATATTGGCACTAGTGTTTAATGGGGTGCCCTGGCTACAGAGCTCTTCAGAATAAGAGCCACACAGCTAGATTTCTCCTCTACAGAAGAATTTTCTCTCGTTAATTAAAAGTAACACTTGTCCACAAACACTAGAACTATGCTGATGACAAACTGTGGGCACGCTGGAGGTAAGTCACTAGTGGGCCAGACCTTGAACTAAGTTCATAATCTAGTCCCCACTTACCCGCAGTCACTCAGTCCAGCCCCCTAGTCTGGGTGTATCAGGCCCAATAAGCAACTGCCTTCAATGGAGCCATGCATTTCTCAGAGACCAGCTTCCTATCTGGTTCATGACCATCCTGGTTCTGTCTTCCGTACTGCCTGGAACCCTAGAACACTGGGGTTCAACCTGGGTCCCCTAGTGAGCCCAGGTATCAATATTGCCCAACCTCCCAAGTGACGGTTAAATACAACCAGATAAAAAAAGACCACAACTAGTCAGACATGGAGTGGTCAGGTGGAGGTCACTGTGGATGGGGCCATCCCTGGGCTGGTGGTCCTGGGTTCTATAAGAAAGCAGGCTGAACAAGACATAGGAGGCAAGCCAGTAAGCAGCATCCCTCCATGGCCTCTGCATCAGCCCCTGCCTCCAGGTTTACCCTGTTTGAGTTTCTGTCCTGACTTCCTTCAGTGACAGACTATAGGTGTAGAAATATAAGCCAAATAAACTTTTCCTCCCCAGCTCGCTTTTGGGCATGATGTTTCATCATAGTCACAGTAACCCCAACTAAGACACATGCTGAAGCTGACAGCATCTGCAAGCTGCCATCAAAAAAGGAAGTCATTCTCATGCAAACTCCAGGGTCCAGCTATTCTCCAGGGTTCTAGCTGAGAAAGAACCCCACCAATTCTGACCAACCCCTACCTGACCACTCCATGTCTGACTAGCAGCCCAGCTAAATGGCTTCCTCTCCTGTGCAAGTCCTGAGCCTCCACGCAGCAGACTTCACAGGAAAAACATCACAGAACCAAGTGCTCAACAGCCTGTCCCCTTGCCCATGCCCGTGCTCATGCTCTACAGAGGAGCCAGGCTCTGCCTGCTCTAGCAGCTAGACTCCCTCCATAAATACATGTAGCCTTGACCATTGACTCCTTCCCAGCCATTCCAACTGACCCTGCCCCGACTCAAACCCGTTCTAGCTTCCCTGATGCCCCCCCCAGGGGCACACACCATCACTGCTAGACATTGCACATAACTAACTTGGTGACAGTCATTTGTTCCTTCTCTGGAGGGCAGAACTCAGCTTCTGAGTAAATCTGAGTATGCCTTGTCTTGCACATAGCAAGCATCCAATAAAAGACAAGTGTGGCACATAGTGTGCCTGGGGCACAGAAACAGAGTCCTGAGGAAATGTCTCCTTTTCTGTGCAGTAAGCCCTGGCCTGCACTGTGTAGTAACAAAGGTAGGCATTTTCTCTGTGTTGTGGAGGACCCAAGAGGGCTGGCACTTAGTCTCAGGCATACCCTGTCCTTTTCCAGCACCAAACATAATGCTTGAAACATTCAGAGTTCAACTAGTCTCCAGTAAATAACTAAACATGCTAACCATGGTTTTACAGGTTATTCTCCTTCCAGAAATAGCTACACATCCCTGGCTCATGTCCTTCAGGATGAAGGCCATGTTATCTGGGATCAACCATACACATGGTCTCCTCCTGATCCCTGGCCCTCCACCCTGCCTTCCCAAGGAGGCCTGAAGAGGAAGCACTTACCTAGTCTGTGCTACTGACCAGCCCCACCCATACTGCACCCTTCAGTCTTGTGACCTGCCCAACTCCTCGTCCAAGTAACACTGACATCCCTCAGAGATACACTGTGAGCTTGCAATGGTGCCAAGGAATCTTGCCTGGCATTCCCACTTGTCTGTACTACCTGCAAAGAGCAGATTTTCTCACTAACCTGGAATTTACCTTCTCACCTGACAATTCAAGCCTGAAAACTGCCCTAGCTTTCCTGCCCGCCTTGTGCACTTGCAATGGCCTCAGAGACGCAGTGTAACGCCTCCTCTTCACAAAACTGACCCTAGGAACTGGCCACGAACTGTACCATCCCAGTGCCTCCCCTTGGCTGACACTTATGCCCTGAACACCTCACAAGTACACTTTGCCAAATTGTGCTGGACTTACCTGCTGCATGCCTGGGCCTCTGACTTCTTCCTAGAAGCAGCTGGGTCTCAAAAGCCTTCAGTGTTTCTGGGAAGCCCCCTACAGATTATCTTTGGTCTACACTGCCAGCACTCCTGCATAGACTCCTGGGTCCCCACCAACACAGTGGGGTTACCTACCACTCACCCCACCTTAAACCCTGCTGTTCCTCTGATGCTCTGTGCCCACTGACGTGGCAACCATTGTGCAGCTAAGTAGCTCAGGGGACTGCAGCTATGACATGCACAGGCGCATAAGAGACAGAAAGAGCAAGAGCCTCTCATAAGCCTTTCCACCTAGACCAGCCAGTTCTTGATGAGCACAACACTATGACATAGGGACTTCCAGACATTTACATTATAACTTCCTACAAACCAAACCAATCAAGAGTCATAACCTCTTCTAGAGGACATTTGGAAATGTAGCTACAAACACTTAAAAACCACAAAACAGAGCACAAGTGATCACACCAGGTCTAGCCTTAATTGCAAGAGATATTTAATCAATAAATATTTGCTGTTCAGAGCTGCATCTGCATTTAGGATTACGAGGTACTGAACTGAAAATTTATTACGACTCATTAGCACCAAAGTCTTTTAAACACTGCAAGTCAGACTCAATTTAGAGTAGGTGCCTGGAGTTCCCGTGACTTAGCTCCAAAATAAAACAAAGGAAAAAGAGAAGCAAGCTGCCAATGAACTATTCTCACTTCCAACCTTAAGCTGTAAGTGAGGGCATGCAGATAGCACAAACCACTGAACTTTCCCTGAGGGCTTCTGGAGCGACAGCTTAATGATGGGGCTCAGGGCACTGACCCCCACTCTCCACCACACTAACAAGCTATGTCCAACATCTCCTGCCCCACTTCCTTGTCCTCTTCCTTTTCCTGTCCTCCTTCCCCCTTTCCCTCTTACTCTTCCTCCTCCTCTTCCTCTTGATCTTGTTCAACAACAGCACTGCCGATCCTTCTCTGCTGGTGCATACCCATTTGCTCTGAGCTGTATGGTCTTCCGTGCTGTAAGCTCCTGAGTCACAAGCCTGCATACAGCCATTCTTTAATGGTGGAAGTCGGTGGGAATGAACGCAGCCGTCACGAGCTGTTGCTCATCTTCTCTTTCTTACAGACTTGCCAAACCAACCTTGAAATTAAGCTAAAACTAGACAATGCCTTCTTGGACACAGCAAAGGCCTGTGTCATTATGCAACCAAGATAGACAAGTGTGTGGCCATGGCCAGCAAGTCACACTCCTCCAGCCAGGTGCCAGGCCACTGGACTCACAGGAATAAAGTAGCTAGGCTGAGCACTGGTGTGCAGACTTACTGAGAGAAGTTTCCATGTCATTGGACGAACTGGCTTTGGGATTCCAGACCAGCTCAGCTTCCGTAATTCCTCTGTTGGAAGAAAAAAACAGAACAAAGAAAAGCAGAGTCACAAAAGGCTCTACAGCATCTTACCATACCCATCAGTGTCCTCAGGAGACAGGGAGGCCCCAAATGGAACCAAAGTAAGCCTAAATGATAACCTCTCAGAGGGTGAATGTCCTCTATACACAAACAATAATGAGTCACACCACTTTATTAGAGCAAACCAGAGCACTGCCTGTTTGTACATAAATCTTAGATGGGACTCATTTGTCTAAGGCAGCCAGGTATCTCTGGTACCAGCCTGAGACAGGTGAGACCCTTTCTCTCTGGGGCAGTAGCATCCACTGTACCAGATTCCTCACCTCCCACTAATTCTGTGTTCCATTGAGCCCAGATGCTAAGTCTCCATTTGGACTTTGGAAGTTCAGCAGGCTTTCCTTCTCTCTCCCACTCCGGCCTACTTGCTGCTTCATAATGATTTGTTTATTTTTATGTTCACTGATGTTCTTCCTGCTTGTATGTGTATATAAGGCTATCAGAGTCCCCCTGGAACTAGTGTCACAGACAGTAGTGAGCTGCCATGTGGATGCTGGGAATTGAACCAGGACTTTTGGAAGAGGAGCTCTTAACCACAGATCCATCTCTCCAGCCCTCACTCGCTGCTTCTTAATGCCCATCCGAGTTGTCTCCTCACCCCTGTCTCTGGGAGGTGAGCTTGTCTTCACACAGCTGACAAAAGTGTGCTACACAATACACAGACAGGATAAGAGAGCTTCAAAGTGGACAAACACAGGTGTGGATGTGTTCACAAATACCACTAACGAGGAGAACCAGAGAAGGATGGCCAGAGAGAGAGGGGCCTGCAGCCATGGCAGTGAGTGCCTTAGAGGATAAGGAAAGTCACAGTATGACATGGTGGCATAGGACAGTGAGCCCTGGTTTAGCTTGTCTCTGATCTCCCTGGGGAGCTAGAAAGCACATGTGGGTGTGTAGGGACGGCCACACATTCCAGTCCCAGCAAGACAAAGGCAACTGCTTCCTTTGCTTTCATTGGAAATCTACTATTAGGCTCTTCTAGCAGCTCAGAGCTCATGATTAATACCAGGAATAAGAGAAGTGATTACAGAGAAGACTTTGGTAATATAATCAACAAAATGCAAAGTCCTGACATCTAATCTTTTTCCAATTACTAAAGTCTAAGTAAAATAAGTAGAGAGTAATTGGACGACAGCACCAGCCATAACCTGCAGTCACAGAACCCTCAGAAAACATCAAATCTCCCCCAGCTCCCCAAGGATGTCATGGAGAATGGGAACCTAATATCTGTACGTCGATAACAGTGTTTGCTAACAGTACCTCTGCCTCCTTACTGTGCCTCTCCCTCCACACAGCGCTGTTTCCTGGCTGTGGTTTATGAAGAAAGCACTGAGAAAACACACTGGTTAATGTTCTCTGCCCCCATCTCCACGTTACACACACACACGTGCACACACACACACACAGAGTCAAGAATCTTGAATATACAGCATGAGATAAAGTTCTTGTCTTGTCCAGGCTCAGTGTTTAAAAAGAGCTTTGCATACATTATCTCACTGGCTCCTCAAAGCAGCTTGGATTAATCAGGGCTGTGAGCCCTGTCCATGAATGAGAACTGGTCTCAGAGAGGTTAAGTAACTTGGCCTTTAATACCAAGTTGTCTTCACTGTATTAACTCCTATTCTTAAAGACTTTGTAGCACAGTCAAATACCACTTATCAATACAGACAGAGATCCCAAAGAAAGTCTTTTTTTTATTTTATTTTTTTATTGGATCTTTTATTTACATTTCAGATGTTATCCCCTTACCCCATCCCCCCACCTACCCAGGAACCTCCCTATCCCATCCCCCCTCCTCCTGCTTCTATGAGGATATACCCCCACCCAGCCACCCCAATCCCATCTCCACACCCTTCAATTCCCCCACACTCAGCGTCCAGCCTTCATGAGACCAAGGATCTCCTCTCCCACCTATGCCCAACAAGGCCATCCTCCCCTACATATACAGCTGGAGTCATGGGTCCCTCCCTATGTGCTCCCAGGCTAGTGGTTTAGACCCTGGGAGCTCTGGTTGGTTGGTATTGTTGCTCTCCTCATGGGGCCACAAACCCTTTCAGCTCCTTCTCTTTCTGTCTAACTCCTCCATTGGGAACCCCTTGATCAGTTCAATGGTTAGCTGTGAGCATCTGCCTCTGTATATGTCAGACTCTTGCAGACCTCTAAGGTAGACAGCTATGTCAGGCTCCTGTCAGCATGCACTTCCTGACATCCACATCAGCATCTACCTTTGGTGACTGCACATGGGATGGATACCCAGGTGGAATGGTCTCCAGACGACCCCTCCTTTAGTTTCTGTCCCACATTTTGCCTCCATATTTGCTCCCTTAAGTATTTTTTTACTCATTCTAAGAAGGACAAAAGCACCCCACACTTCTAAGAAGGAAGAAATCTTCCTTCTTCACGAGCTTCATGTGGTCTGTGAGTTGAATCCACCTCACACCAGTCAAAATGGCTAAGATCAAAAACTCAGGTGATAGTAGATGCTGGCGAGGGTGTGGAGAAAGAGGAACACTCCTCCATTGTTGGTGGGATTGTGAGATGGTACAACCACTCTGGAAATCAGTCTGGCAGTTCCTCAGAAAATTGGACATAGCATTACCTGAGGACCTAGCTATACCACTCCTGGGCATATACCCAGAAGATGCTCCAACATATAACAAGGACATATGCTCAACTATGTTCATAACAGCCTTATTTATAATAGCCAGGAGCCGGAAAGAACCCAGATGTCCTTCAACAGAGGAATGGATACAGAAAATGTGGTATATTTACACGATGGAGTATTACTCAGCTATTAAAAACAATGAATTTGAGAAATTCTTAGGTAAATGGATGGAACTTGAAAATATCATCCTGAGTGAGGTACCCCAATCACAAAAGAACACACATGGTATGTACTCACTGATAATTGAGTATTAGCCCAGAAGCTTGCAATACCCAAAGAAAGTCTTAACAGATCCAAACACAGTAGTGTATCTGAAGAATAGTTCACACCACAAGATTCACTCTGAGGGTGCAAGGATAGGTGTGCTGAATCTACTGTTGGAGGAAAGACACCCAAACACGTTTTCCCTCTCTAGAAGAATGTTGCCTGTGCAAAGTGCCCACAACTCCTGAGGCCAATGCTGAAATGCTGAGATGTGATGAGCCGCTGGCCCAGCACACCCCACTCAGCTCCAGAGGGGGCCTGTGAGGTGCTGATGCATGGCTACACCCCTTCCCCATGGTCAATGTGCAATGGGACTGGGGTTCCATCTTAGATACTGGGAGAATAGCACAATTGCTCAGGACTCCAAGAAAAGTCCTCACTCCTAAGGAATTCATTGGAAGCCACCATCTCTCTCCCTCTGACAGTATCCCAGTTAGACTGAGACTAAATATTGTTAAAACCATCCACCTGAGAAGCTACAACCTATTGAAGAGAGGAAGAAGCAAGAACAAGGCAGGAAATGTAGGTCCACACTAGGCAGGATGGGCAGTGCACAAACTTGCCAAAAACAACAGCTTTTCCCTGTGTGACTGAGAAGAGAAAACTATGAAGGGCATGAACCTAAAACCTATGCAGGACAGCCATGCATGGTACCACACGCCTTTAATCCCAGCACTTGGGAGAGAGAGGCAGGCAGATCTCTGAGTTCCTGTCTAACCTGTTCTAAAATATAAATTCCAAGACAGCCAGGGCTACACTGAGAAACCCTGTCTCAAAAACAAAACAAACAAAAAATGCACAGGTAATGTGAGGTAACTAACCTGCAGGTTTCCCTGGAAGAACATAGAGACAGACAGGTGTCAGGCTCAACAAGGTTTAAGGTGCAGTTCCACTGGGGTAGGCAGGCAGCCAGAGGTAAGAAAGCATGTCCATGAACAACAACAAATATGGCCTCTATGCCTAGCACTAAGGAGGGCTCACTTCCCAGCCCGAGTCAAAATTACTAAAGCCAAGCCATAACTAAACCAACCCCTCAAAAGAAAGGGTCAGAGGAACTAGGGAAACTAAGTGGGGAATGTTGCTTCCGAAGGTCAGGCTGGTTCCTTAGAAAACATGACAACAGAAAAACTGAGTCAAGAAACGGGTGATCTAAGCCCAGGAGCAGCTCATGCAAGCCTGGCCTGCTGTGGACAGAAGCCTGGAGGGCCAAAAGTGGACACAGAGACTGAGGAAGCTTACCCTGCAGGGGAGGGCAGCAAGAAAGAAAAGCAAAGCCCAGAGCAGAGGGGCCTAAATAAAAACAAGACAAGTCAAACCAGGTTAGAGAAACAGTGAGTTTCAGATTGGAAATTTATGTCAATTGTCACTCAAAAGAAAATGTAATTTTAATACAAAGAGAAGTAAAATTGCAATGGGCTCTGCTGGGTGTATCCTAAAATTTCACAAGTTCATCTGGAGAGCAAGGCCCTAAGAGAGCCAATAAAATTCTTAATAAGAATAACGTGGGAGGAGAGGGGAGAGGGGAAACTGTTTGAAATGTAATGTATGAGAAAAGAATAAATTTTTCCAAACAACTTTAAATAAATAAATAAAAGAATAATGGGGGTCGAGGGGCCTAAGGAGATGGCTCTCTCCCTAGGGAGTAAGTGACTATCACACAAGCCTCAGGGCCTGAACTGCAATCCCAAATACCCATGTGCCTACACAGCAGCACATGTTGGTATCCCAGCATGCCAGGCAGGAGTAATAGCTAGAAGGATCCCTGAGCCTGAGCCTTGCTGGCCAGCTAATCCAGACAAATTCATGAACTCCAAACTCAGTAAGGAACCCTTTCTCAAAAAATAAGTGGAAATTTTTGAGGAAGAAACATGACATTGACCTCTGGCCTCTATGCACATGTGCACACACATGCAAGACATTCGCACAATACACCACATAATTAATAAGATAAAAAAAACTATGGAGCTGGAAAGATGGTCCGGTGATTACTGCTGCTCTCCCA